TAATAGTTTGTTTTGCTAATAGCAAGTTCAACCAAAGGCCATTACGGAGTTTTGTTACAAACTCTAGACATTCGTATTCAGTACTAGAGAACTAGTCAGGAAGAGCAGGGAGGAGCTGTAACTTTGGTATCAGATAGACCTGGATTCAAAAGTGAATTCTGGGGGCACCTGGGTGGCTCAGTGGGTTAAGGCCTCTGCCTTTGGCTCAGGTCATGATCCCAGGGTCCTGGGATTGAGCCCCGCATCGGGCTCTCTGCTTAGCAGAAAGCCTGCTTCCTCCTCTCTCCCTACTTGTGATCTCTGTCAAATAAATAAATAAAATCTTAAAAAAAAAAAAGATTTCTGCCACTTACTCATGTGTCATCTCAGGCAAACAGCTTAATTTCTTTGGGCCTCAATTTGCTACTGTGTAAAATGGGGCTAAGACATGAGCCTCATGAAAACTGTTACGAGGGTGACAGGAGACAATGCGCGCAAAGCCCCAATCATAGTGTCTGGCACTCACTAGGCGCTCAGCAAATGTATTTCTTTTCCTCCTCACACCTCCATGTCCTATCTGTCCCTCTTGCGAGGCAAGGGAGTCTATTAATTAGTTCTGCAGTGTTTCCTTTGTTCTAAAGCCATCTCTTTCTAACCTCAAGGGCTCTCTGGTCCCTTGTGCCGGAGGAGGCTGAGGTGTGGGATGGCAGCTGGGCTTCCCCTCATTTCACACATGGGGATTTAATAGACTTTGATCAGATTCTCCTCAGCCTTTATGACTGCAATCTGAGAAGTGTCCACCTTTCCTATCTTCATATAACCCTCAACCCAAACTCTGCTGCTTCTCTGACCGTATGCAGCAGGATTACAGGATGGTTGGGCTGATCTGGGTTCAAGTCCTAACTCTGACACTTCCTGTGTGACTTTGGGCACATCCCTTGATCTCTTGGAGCCTCCATTTTCTCAACTCTAGAAAACCTCATCTATTTCCTGGGTATTTCCTAGGTATTAACTGGCTGGACCATGGTGACAGAATAGGCAGGCCACCACCAGCACACTGCTGTCATGGAGATGTAGCTCTCTCTCCTGTGACTTAGCAGATGGCTTTCCTTCCTAAACTCCTGAACGTGGCGGGGCGCCTGCGTGGCTCAGTGGGTTAAGCCTCTGCCTTTGGCTCAGGTCATGATCTCAGGGTCCTGGGATCGAGCCCCACATCAGGCTCTGCTCAGCAGGAAGCCTGCATTCCCCCTACCCCGCATACTTGTGATCTCTGTCAAATAAATACATAAAATCTTAAAAACAAACTCCTGAATGTGGCATTCAAGGTCCCCAAGAGCTTCTCCAACCTCAAGTCTTGCTATCCCTTCCATCTGCCACCATTCCTGCCATGGCAGTCCCTTGTTATGCCCAAATATTCCATGTTTCTGATTCATGGCCAGACAATCTCTCTTACCTCCACCTGGTCTAGCCTCCTCTGCCCAGTACCTTTCTTCAAAACCCACCTTCAGTGCTCATCTGTGAAGCACTTCCTGAGTAGAACAAGCCACTCCCTCCTCTAGATCCTTACCACCTCATATATATCCTTAATTATAACTACTGCAAGGGTCCGTGTTTGCCTCCCCCACCAGAATAAGTTCCTCTATCTGTGTCACTTTCTAACTGGGAGTCTTTTCACCTCACTTCAACAAAATGGAGGTAATAATCCTTGAAGTTCAAGGAGGTTCAGGTTTGTGAAAAGTCCCAAAACAGTGCCTGGCACACAGGATAGACAGCTTATTTTGGGACTGGTTCATCGATTCAAGCAGCTCTGACAGAGAGCCCTCCGCCAGACCCGTAGCAATAGAAACTGAGTGGATGTCAGCTAAAAGCAGGACCAAGCAGACACCAGCCAGCTCCTTAGGACACCCCATGGTCCCTCCCTAGAACCCCAGACAAGCTTCACAGACAGATGCCATGTGCAGAAGAATTCACATTTATTGGTTCAAATACAGTACCTAACATTTGCTAAACATGCATTTCACACTAATTGGTCACATTTCCACAGGTAGTCAATTCACAGAAAAGGGCCCATCCCTTGCCAGCTGGCAGGGTGGGAGGTAGCAGAGGGCCTGGGTAGCCTTCAGAGCCCACCAACTATCATTTGGTCATGCAGGGTTGATGGAGCCAGGCTGGCGGGCAGCCCTTGGCCGGCCCTTTGGGGACAAGGGCTCAGAGACATCCCATTTACACGATTCCTACACTGGGCTGTGGGTAGAAGTGGGCCTAGGGTAGGTAGCCCAAGGATATGTTCACTGATGCTTGTGCCACCACAGTCCCTGGAGATGGGGTGGTGAGAGGTGGCGCTCCCTGTGCCCTGGATCACAGGAAAGAAATGATGGCCTCTTCAAAGGGATGGCTAGTCCGTGGCTGGGCCTCTCCAGACATGGCCCAGACATCACAACGCAGCCACAAGCCCCTATCGCAAGCCTGGGATGGCAACACAGACAAAAACACCAACACCCCAGGGCAGGCAGAGTTTCTTTCCCGACAGAAACATGTAAACAGAGCAGGAGCTACGGTATTCTTTTCCCACAGGATTCCTCAGAGAGGAATCGATCAGGAATGTCACTCAAGAGGTAGTTTTATTTTTTTTTTCTTTTTCATAGAAATTTGAGTCAACAACATTATTACCTATCATAAGACATTTCAGAGAAAGAAAAAAAAAAATGGTCACCAAAGGGCAAAAATGATCCTTTGGCTGGCAGGGCTGGCTCCAGGATTTGGAAGACTAGCCTCCACCAGTAACACAACTTTCTTCTTGGGCTTGGAGCAAGCTCTGGCCTAACTCACAGTTTCCCTTTGAGCCTGCAACTGATTCCTGAGCAGGCTGTGCTCCACGGAGGGCTGCATGCCCAGAAGAGGGAGGCCGAATGGGCACTGGACTGGGCAGGGGGACTGGGCATTTTATGGGCTGGTGGAGGCAGGGCCATAGTGGCTCCTGTTGCAGGACAGCCAGAATTCTTCAAGTTTCAAGGTGGCCCAGGTCTAGCCAAGAAGGAAGCCCCAGTGTGCTCCTCGACTCCGCATGTTCTCTGGGGCTCCTGCCTCTGAGGAAATGGTCCAGGTCCGGTTCTCAAGCCCAGAAAAGAAGCTGCTGCTTGTGGCAGCCAAGAGAGGGGTTTCTGGGGACCCTGTAATTAAATACACATCCCTGAGCTATGGCCCTAGAAACCCTTGCCTCGAGGCTGATCAGTTTCCAGCACCTGGTGGAATGATTGCCGTTTCTCATCCTGAGACACAGATAAAACATCATTTCACAGACACTGGACATAGATGCTTCGAGCTGAGGAAAAAGGGAGGAATGATCAACTACAAAGGCAGAGGGGAGTGTAGGGAATTCTCATGGATCAAATTGGGGAAAGTGAGAGCAGTGGTATTTTGTTGTTGTTGTTTAAAAAAATCAATAAAGAAAAACTCAAAGTTTAATAAAAGAGCTGATCTGAAAGATTGGATTTCTTAAAATAATTGCAAAATTTTAAAAAGCAACAAGGAAAAAGACATAGACCAGGGGCCCAGAGCTAAAGACTTGGAACCACTGCCCAACCTCCTGCCCTGCTGGGAGGCCAGGGTCCCCTTACTCTGGCCAACCTTGAGCATGGCTTCGATGCTGCCCATGCTGGGTTTGTCCATCGGTCTCCACCTGCCCCATTCTCCAGGAAATCAAGAACAAACGAAGGTAGGAAATGGGAAGCAGAAGCAGAGCAAGGCAGCTCACAGAGCCCAGGTTTTTAAGGACCTGGTGACATATTGGCCACGGCAGGTACTCACATCCCTGAAAAGGGGTGGCATGTGAGAGGCAGGTCAGTGTGGAGCGGGTGACTGTCAGCAACGCTGTGGAGACCCTTAGATTCCCTCTATCCACCCTCTGGTTCTGGGGAACAAGACAAGGAGGTCTCTGCACGCTGCCTTCTAGCCCGGGAAGTTCGCCCACATCAGTTACGGGTTAAGCATGGGGCTGGGTGTCCTCCGAGCCAGGTGGAGTGCTTAGAGACAGGTTCTGGGGAGTTTCTCCAGACTAAGGGCAAGACCACCAAACCTTGTGAACGACTCCAAAATTCTACAAAGGAGCCAGAGAGCGTAAGTTGTAGGTGAAGTTGCAAGATTCCAAACTTTCGTCTTGGGTCAAGAAAACATTTAAAGGGAAAGGAAAGGAAAAGCCTGTGTGTTTCAATGCAGTGCAAGGAGGTAGGACTCTCCTTTACCACACAGCTTTCAGGGTTACATTTTTATGGTTGAAAAACTCTCACTCAAAGTGAGTGCTGTTGGTAGCAGGGGACTGAAAAAGGACAGGAGAGAGGGGAATTAGAGACAACATGCACAACTTTTTTCTTCTTCCACTCGCAAAAAGGCTACCTGTTAACCAAATGTTATGGGAAGAAAGGCAAAAAACAAACACACCAAACCTCCCCCCTCCAACCTTTCTCTGTGTCCTTCAAACCAAATTCACAAATACATCTAGTGGCTGACCTAATGTCTCCACGCTGCTAGCTACACTCCTACCTTCTCCTCATAATACCTGAGTTTGCAATGCAACACATTCACTTTACCCTGTTTAAAAAACCCCACGTCATAAAAGGACTGGGTGCAGAAGACATGAAAGGCTGTCCACAGGTCAGGCTCCGGCCTGGAACACACAGCCACTCGGCTCAGAGATTCTGCAGGGCTCTTGGCAATGAATGGGCTCTTTGTTCTGTGGAATCGGCTGCAAACATTTGTAAAAATGGATTTCTACAATGGCAACTTGCAGAACCTTTCCCCCGCTCCACAAATTAACAACTTGCTCTATTTAATGCTGCATTATTGGAGACATGTTCTTGTCTTGTCAAAGAGCAATTTCCTTTGATACCCAACACAACCAGTAACATGCTTAATTTAAGAGAAAAGCAATTTCAAAAAATAATAATTTGACAGATGGAGGTTTAAGCAAAGAAAGATATGATGCACAGGAGCAGTGTTGGAGAAGGGACTCTGAGAAGGGACCCTGACCTGTAGCCAAAGAATGTGATCTACTTGGTTAAATAAAAAAATCGGGGAAACAAAAATATTGTGAACCTAGAAATAAACAGATACACAAACATAAATCTTCCCATCAACATGTGAAGAACATTCTGGTTGGAGGTTTTCCTGAGGAACATGTCTCTTTTTTCTTTCTCAGAGCAGCTGGGGAAATGGCAGTAAGGAGTAATGCTCTGAGTTCTAGATCCATCAAGGGACAAAGTCATCACTCTGCTGGTACCCGTAACATTTCACTGGAAAAAAAAAAATTATAATCCGACACAGACTACCTGGTGTGCACACGATGTGGTGGCCCACTCGGTAAAGTTGCTGGCTGGGTTGGGAAGAGAGCAAACGGCCTTTGACTGAAACAGGCAAAACAAAATGCTGTAGGTCCCTCCAGCCCACCCAGGGAGGTACCCAGCTAAAGTGGTCTGTGTACTGCACTGGCTGTGGGAGATACCTGGGTATGGGCAGGGACAATTACAATACTAAGGCAGAGAATGGAAAAGCACCTGAGAGAGTTCTAAGACAGACATGGTGTGGCCACTGGCCAAAGCCAAGAGGGTAAAGAACATTTCCCAGGACTAGGCAGGGTAGGTAGTGAAGGAATAGGAGGTCCAGGCCGTATCTGCAGAGGGGGGCAGCCAGGCCCTTAGGAACATGAGGTAGTTTCAAGCCCCCCCACCCTTCCAGGTGCTTTGGACTCCAGCCCTCCAGGCCTTGGTCAGCCAGGCCACCAATAATCTAATGGGCAGGTGGGCCAACTCTGGTACTTGGGCTTTCCGTTCTAAGGAAACTGGTCTCATTTTGGAGAGATTAGGAGAACTTGGGAGGAGAATGAAGGGGCAAAGCTTCTGTTTAGCTGATGGGTGAATGGTCCTTCCCACTGTATGAAAGATGGCAGGGTTTGGATTCAGTCCTGAGGATGAGACAGGATGGGGTGAGGGGAACAGGGAAAGGAAGATTGTTTATTCTTTTAGCAGTCTGGCCTTTGTCCCACTACCCTTTGAAAAAAAGCAAGGTGAAAGGAGAATAAATCAGTAGTGGGCACCAGGATTCAGAGCATGACATTTTGTTCAGTTGTTTTTTCAAAGGGCCAAGAGGAAGTCAAATGTGTAAGACAGAGTGGCAAGGAGTCTGAGGAAGGTAGACCTTGGTAGACTCAGGTAAAGACACTAGGTAGCTGTGAGCTCCAAGGGAGCTAGCAGACAAGTCCCAAGAATAACTTACTGCCAGGACCATGTGTGGATAAAAAGTTGAGAGTAGCAGAAACCAGTAGTGGTGGTTCAGACGGTGGGGGCGGGGGCAGCCCACAGCATGGTATGAGAACAGAAACCCTTCTCCCTGAAGAGTTGTTCGGAGGGAGGACATTTTAGATTCGGTCACTGCACTCTACTCCCTCAACTACCATGCTTTCCAAAGAAAAGAGAATGCTAAATCCTCATATCCTGTTTCCAATATTTCACCCAGTTTGCTTAATAAATCTCCCAACACCACTTTGCCCCTTTATGGTGTGCTCTTTTACTTTTACCCGGTAATTCTGTGACTAGAAAAAGGCAGTCTGCTCTCTGACAGACTAATGTAGGAGTCTGCTGAGAACATGTGGAAAAAGTAGGGATGGTTACACCCCTCCCTTTCCACTGAGGTAGTCGTCTTTGTCAACATTATGGAAATATTCATCTCAGCCCCATCCCACCCTCTCCCTCAAAATACAAAAGAACTATCTCTAAACAATGACAACACTATAACATTAAACATCTTCACATTCTGTAAACTGCAAGGAAATGCATCGGCTGCATTCACACAAAAGCATGTGCATCATGTTGAAGGCCATACATTCAACTCTGTCGTGAAATAAATATATAGAAAAATGAGGTTAAAAAAACAGACAAACAAACAAAAACTCTTCTTGCTATGGAGGCAACTGGAAACACTGCTCCACAGCCTCCATCTTGGTCTCTCTGGCTCTTTCTTCCGGAGCCTGTTCTGCCCACCCAAGGCGCCATGGCTGGCCCGAGGAGGGGCGCCGGGAACAGGTCATTCCTTGCCCACGCTTGTCTTGCAGGAATGCAGCACCACCTTAAAGAGGAGGGGCAGCTGCTCCAGGGGTACATTCACCATCTTTCCTGGTAACAAGGTGGGAAAAGAAAAGTTAGTAATGGCTGCAGTGGAAGAGTGTGCCTGCCTCCTCTTGGGCTGCGGGAGGGACAATGTTGCCTTTTTGAGGGACTAGAGCAAGAAAGTGCCGGGAGTATCACAAAGACAGGAGTATCAGACAAACTGTGCTAACCACCTGATACCCAGACCCATGTTGGTACCCTAGAGAGTCTAGTAATGGTGCAAGCTATAATCATTGCTACCATCTACTTACTCCATGCTAGCTGTTTCAATGAATTATCTAATTCTCATAATATTTCCAAGTGATAGATATTACTTGTTATCTCCATTTTATAGATGAGGAATGTTAAACTGAAAGGTGTTCCCTAGGTATTTTCTTCTAAAATACCCTGAGAAACATACCCTATTTTTTTTTCCCCTGGTAGAGTCTCTAATTAGCATTCTGTTCTTTAGAAGAGTATAAAGGGTTAATAAAAGTACTGGAAAAGGAGAAGGGGGTGGTCACAGGGGCAAACAAATTTGAGAAATTCAGGTTGAAAAAGGCGTACAGGCTTCTTCACTGGAAAACATCTCAGAGCATTCAGTGTGCTAATATACTTTGTAAATACCAGACGCTGTCATTCTTCTCCCTGCCAGTACCTTTGAGTCACCTGGGGAGTTTTAAAAAAATATTGATGCCCAGGTCCCACTCCATACCAATTAAATCAGAATCTCCACAGAATAATCCAAGCACAGATATTCTTAAAAAATTTTCCAGGTGAATCAAAATGTTGCCAGAGTTGAGAATCCAGCTCTGTCGGGGAGAGTGGGGTATTAACCACTGACCTCCCTTTATTTCAGAGAGCATCTGATTAATACCTTATTCAGTAAAACATAGATTTGGAAATGCCAAGCCATAAACTATCAAAGCACCCTTAAAATTCCAGTATTTTAGGTCCAGTTCAGATCTGCTAGACTACGTAGGTCCAAAAAGTTGGGAAAAAATTCCTTTGTCAGACCGAAAATTTTTTCCTCTAAAATTGGGTGGCTGAATTTGACAGAACAGTTTTATCTTAGAGGTCACATTTCTGAGTTTTCCCTCAGTATATGCTATTACTATACACAAGAATCTTTACCAGAAGACCTAAAACAACAATAAAAACAAAACCCAGGGGGCACCTGGGTGGCTCAGTTGAGTTAAAGCCTCTGCCTTCGGGGCGCCTGGGTGGCTCAGTGGGTTAGGCCGCTGCCTTCGGCTCAGGTCATGATCTCAGGGTCCTGGGATCGAGTCCCGCATCGGGCTCTCCGCTCAGCAGGGAGCCTGCTTCCCCCCGCCCTTCCTCTCTCTCTGCCTGCCTCTCTGCCTACTTGTGATCTCTCTCTGTCAAACAAATAAATAAAAATCTTAAAAAAAAAAAAAAAAAAAAAAGCCTCTGCCTTCGATTGAGGTCATGATCCCAGAGTCCTGGGATCAAGCCCCGCATAGGGCTCTCTGCTCAGCGGGGAGCCTGCTTCCTCCTCTCTCTCTGCCTGCCTCTCTGCCTGCTTGTGATCTCTGTCAAATAAAAACAAAAACAAAAACAAAAAAACCCAGGATTTTATATTGGAGTGGACCTATTTAAATGTCAAGAAGCTCAGAAGGGGGTCAAGATTACAAAGCAATAACAACAAAAATTCCTTTGCAAAGCTAGGAAAAGATATTGCTTTAGGGTGCCTGGGTGGCTCAGTGGGTTAAAGCCTCTGCCTTTGGCTCAGGTCATGATCTCAGGGTCCTGGGATCCAACCCTGCACTGGGCTCTCTGCTCAGTAGGGAGCCTGCGTCCCTTCCTCTCTCCCTGCCTGCCTCTCTGCCTACTTGTGATCTCTGTCAAATAAATAAATAAAATCTTAAAAAAAAAAAAAAAAAGATACTGCTTTAAATGAATAATCTCCAAAAATCTGTAAGAAATTCTATGAAATGAAGTTAATTTTAAAAATTGAGATATAATTAATTCACATAGCATAAAATATATCATTTTGATGTCTATATTTTAAAGTATATATGCAGGAAATGAAGTTAATTTGAGAAACTCTGAGCCTACTTCCCCATCCATAGAAGGACCATAAATATCACCAACAACCAGCCTTGCAGAGTTGGTTCTGAGATTAAAAAAACATAAGGCTACAAAGCACCTTGCACGTGATAGGCATTGGGGAAATATTAGACTCTCTTCCCTACAAAGAAAACACAAACTTCTCATTATAATATAACTTTTCTGAGGGCAACGGTAGTAGCTCTTTCATGCAGCTGGTGACCAGCCTGGAATGAGCGTCTTTCACACAATGCCGATCTCATTTCAGGCAAGACAAGCAAGGAAGGTTTGCACGCCCCGCCCAAAACTGTACCTGCAATATAGCGAATCTCAGGTAAGCACATCATGAGGTCAGGAAAGCGGTTCGGCTGATGGGTATATTTATATTCAGTGAAATCCTGGCATATGTACCAGTACCGCTTGTTCAACTGTTCCAGCTGTGAGGCACTGGTCAGACCCCTGATATCTGTGGAAAAACAAAAACTAAAACAAGAACAAAAACCACACAGGAAAAGGAGGGGCTTTCTACAGTGGAAGAAACAGGAGCTCCTTGAATCTGTGCATCTTTCGATTAAAAGCTATTCAACATTGTCACAACAGGAGATCTTTTCTCTTTCTATCACGGAGAAACAAAATTCTGGATAAGGGAAGAGAAATCAGATAAAGAAGGAAAAAAATTATAAAGGACAGTCACTAGACTGAGACACTTGAGCACTGGGCGGCATCTTTCTCAGCTTCCTGCACAGCTCCCAACACAGGGCTCGACACAGAAAAGGCCAGTGGATTCACCAGTGGATGCTGAACACTGATTGAGTAACCTCCCTTTCATAATATATCCGTCAAAATATCTTAAACTGGCCCTTTGCTGGAGCCAATCAAAAAGTCTGCCGATAGCTGCACATACTCACACATGGTCTCCTATGTGCGTCTGCTCATACTATCCGACCTGAGCGGTCACTCCAGCTTTTCTCTATATAGATCTCTCTCTCTCATTCATTTATATATAAATGCATATGTGTATATATACAATGTATACGTATGTGTGTATATATAATGTCTATGCACATACCAGCTCCTTTTTATACACAGAATATAAATATAACTTACCTATATAATTTATACATAAAATAGGATATAAATATTCTCTATATAAATCTTACCCAGCCTTTGCGGCCCAGCTCAGATTTCTCCTCCAAATAGCTGTTGCTGATCTCCCCCAATATGAGGCTCATGTAATGTGTCAGGTCCCATTAGAGTGTGTACATCTTTTTTTTTTTAAGATTTTATTTATTTATTTGACAGAGATCACAGGTAGGCAAAGAGGCAAGCAGAGAGAGAGGCGAAAGCAGGCTCCCTGCTGAGCAGAGAGCCCGATGCAGGGCTCGATCCCAAGACCCTGAGATCATGACCTGAGCTGAAGGCAGAGGCTTTAACCCACTGAGCCACCCAGGTGCCCCTAAAGTGTGTACATCTTGAAGCCAGGGACCTGCGATCTATTTTATTTAATGTTTTTCATGGTCAACACAGCGCCTGGTCTAAGGGAGGCACATGGAACAGCAGATAAATGAAGATGAATGAATAGCGAAGAAGCAGCTGGAAGGAGTAAGCCAGAGGAGGGGTTCAGACTCTGGACTAGGAAACTGAATACAGTAACAGAGCAATCTCAATGTCACAGGAAGCAAAACAGCCCTGTTCCACTGTGAGAACAGAGCAGTCATACGCTACTTTGGAAAAAAGAGAATATAAATTCTCCTTCATGCTCCAGTTACGAGCAGCTACCAAGCACCACTTGGTAGGTAATGCCCCACATAAACCGCACCCAGCAGTCTTCTAATGAAAGCCACGCTTGAGGGGTGCCTGGGTGGTTCAGTCGTCAAGTGGCTGCCTTCAGCTCAGGTCCTGATCCCGGGGTCCTGGAATCGAGCCCCGCATCAGAATCCCTGCTTGGTGGGAAGCCTGCTTCTCCCTCTCCCACTCACCCTGCTTGTGTTCCCTCTCTCGCTCTCGCTGTCAAAAAAGTAAAAAAACTTAAAAAAAAAAAAAAAAAAAAAAGCCACGCTGGATCCACGTTGTGGATCCACGTTGTGGATCCACGTTGTTTTTGTACAACCCCCCACCCTGCCCTGAAGAGGCCGTCAGAACCACTGCCAGCCTGTCACACACGTCTTATCTCCGATAGTTTCATCAGTCACCCTGCTCTTCTTCAGCCACTGGTAAACTTGGTACATATTTTAAATGACGCATGTACTGTCCTTGGTGTCTGTGTTTAAATGCATTAAAACTGACTAAACAAAGCAAATCCTCTTCCTTCCTCTATGAGTTATAGAGACTGTGGCATTTAGGTTTGAAGAAAAAAATCCAAAGCATGCCCTGCGCTACAGAGGGGCAGGCTGAGGAAAGCACAGGCCTTCTCGGACTGGTACCCACATGGTGTGACAGATTCTGTGTGACAGTCCTGAGGGTAAAAGGGTGGGAGGTGGTGTGTGAAACGTGAGGGAGAATGCTCTCTGGCAAAATAAATAAATAAACAGACAAAATCCCCTTTTCTCACCGCCAGCTACTTACCTTGATTTAAGAAGTTAATCGCTTTCATGCAAGCATACTCCTCATTGCTGACCTTTAGCTGGTGGAACTTGTGATACAGGTAGATGAGCCGCTCGATCACCTCCATCCCTTCGTCGCTAAATCTGGTGAACACACAGGTGTGAGTGGGCTTTGAGACCAGTGGGGGTTAAGGAAGGGAAGAAAGAGTCTCCTACAGCTCCTTGAGGCGCCTAAGACAGAAAAGAGCCTGAGCTTGGGGGAAATGGAATCCAGGATCATTATGAAGGACAGGGAGATCCATGGTTTGTCTGGAGGCAAGGCAGCTCAGACAAGCTGCTGTTCCTAAGGTCAGGCGGGGCCAGTCAGATCTCAGTTCACATCCAGCTCCAACATTCAAAAGCTGTAAGGCCTTGGGAAAATCATTTGACCTCTCTAAACTGCGAGATTCTCTTGTAAAATAATGCTTGCCTGCTTGCGGGTAACAAGGGCCAAAGGCAGTCTGAAATGTAAATGTGGAAAAATACAACACTATCAAGATTCTGCTATAGCTGAGATGGAGCCTCCAGGTTCAATGGCAGCTGCCATGGTGATTCTACCTGAGCCTTTGCCACGGTGAAGAACAAGCTGATGATTATATTTTTTAGGTTCACTGCTTCCAGCAGGGCTGAGGTTACACACAATGAAAAATTTTACTGGCATCCCTCACTCTAGCTAGGGAGGAAGGGAAACATTACCTGAGCCTCCATGCCCTGCCAGTCTCCGTGCTAGGCACTTATGTGCACTTTCTCATTGAGTTTTCTCAGCTCCATGGGCTATGTGAGACTATCATTACCACTGTATAGATGAGAAACTGAAGTTCAAAGAGCAGAGGGGACTGGTCCACAAGCACACAGCTAGCTGGTGGCAGAGCTAGAACTTGGAACCTAGGCTAACTTCCCAAGCCCTTGGTTCTTCCAATATCCGAGGGCAGCATCACACTGCAGCAGGTAAGACTCTGCAGACCATGCTCCTTTCTCTGGATTGGAAGCAAGCTCCTTGGGGAAAGACCAAGTTTTAGAAAAAGGAGCCCCAGGTTAGGGGACTAATACTCTGGGTCACAGTGGGGCATACCTCATACCAGAGGTGGAGATACCACCAAACCAAGCATCAAAAAGGCTTAATGGGGAAGCAAGAGTTTATAATAGCCGGGGTCAGGGTCGGTCTCTGCCCTTCTAGGAGTGGACTAAGGGGAGTTCCAGACAGGCTAAGTGCTGGGGACATACTCAGACCTGAGTACTGCAGCCCTATGCTGGGCAAGAAGTCCCTATGTGGGTAGGGTCCTGAACGCCTGTGGGCTCTACTGCCTTCTGTGTTGACTCTGAAGGCTTTGCAAAGGCTTGGCCTCTGGGCAAGCAGGACATCTCTTCTCCCTGGGGGGAAAGCCTGGCTCCGTTCTGGGCCAGAAACGTCTGCACTTCTCAAGCAGCAGAGGGAGCTATAGGAGAGCTACCCACAATCTAGAGCCTGACCCCTTCGCCTCAGCGCCCCATCACGACCCATCACAACCCGAGGCTCCTGTCCTCCATCCGCTGATTTGAACAATGAGGGCTGATTTCATTTCTCTCTATGCCTGGCCCAATGGCTTTTACAACTTTATTAATACTTCCCCAAACTGGCTGATAGACAAATTGATACTGAGTAACTACTACACTAACCTTATCTATCATTCTATCCTTTGCTGAGTGTTTGCTACTTGCCAGCTAACTTTGTTAAATATTCTGCACTCATTATTTCACTGGGTATGCCCAGTAAATCTACAAAATTGGTATTACAGCCCTCTCTGTGCACATGTGGAAACAAAGCTCAGACAGGTTATTTACTGGGTCCCTGGGCCCCTCCTGCATTCTTACATTTTACCTCCCTGCTAACCTGGGGGCTAAGTAGGATCACCTACTCGATAGGGATGAGGAAACAAAAGAAGAGCATCCTGCCTACCCCAAAGTAGCACAGCAAGTAAGTGGCGGTGGGGTGGGGCCAAAGTTTAAACCCAAGTTTTCTAACTCCAAGCCTTTCGCCTTCTTAGCACTACACTGTCCGCTCCCTGTCTTGTCCTTAACTGGTAACTGGGAAAGGCTGCCTCATGCCACCACAGGGGGCCTCAGGAGCTCTGGGTTCCTGCAGCGACTCAGCCCCAGGCCCAGCTCTGGAAGGCGTGGGCTCTGCTGCAGGGCCTCCACGGTGCTGAGCCATGCCGGAGGCAGCGGGCCTGGGAGTGAAAAGCATGCCCCATCACAGGACTCTCATCACTATTTCTGTTCTTGAGAGGGAAAAGGTCTCCACTGTGAATTCCCTCTAGTAGCTGGCTGGAGAGCTGGTGTGGGGAGGAAATGTGGTAGGGCGTCAAAAAGGAGGACGGAGGCAGAGCGGCAATGCCAGCATCTGTCTGCGGCCAAGCAGTGTAGCAAACAAAGATAACGTTCTCTGCCTTAATCAGCAACCGCTTGGCCCAAGTGCTCCCTCTGGCACCGCAGAACCCGCAGGTGTGTGGTTATCAGCCAGACCCCCGGCCAGCAGCACTGAACATACTGCCGGCTGAGTCCTGACGTGAGCCACACAAAGGAGCTCCCAAGTGCCCTGTGTGAGCTTCTGTCCCAAATCTGCCCTTTCTCTTGGGGACAGCACGTACCTTCTTTTCCACATTTCCTAGGAAAAGGCAACTGTCATGGACCCCTGGCAGTGGTGGTGGGGGGGGCTGGCAGCCAGCCCAGTAGCCCCCACTCAGTCTCCACAGCCCTACTGCAAAGCTTTCCTCCACACCCCGCATCCCACCCCTTGATAAACAAATCGTTCTCTGTTTCATGGGCCTGCTTTCTCCTGCAGCCGTGCCTCCTCCACATCTGCCCACTCCACAGTTCTAACGCCCCTGTATTCCCCGTCTGCAAATTATCAGCATTTAAAGCCAGAGAGTTGGACAAACACACCCATTCTTCTTCGAGGCTTCCATTACACAAGCACGCTGGGACAAAGAAAACATTCCCGCCAGGATCCCCCAAACCACTGGACCATTCAGTCAGCAACTGAAGCTGACACTGTGTAAGTTATGTCCCGTTAAGGGGGCTGAGAGGTCCAGTTGTCTTTTTTTCATTTAGCTAAGTGCACATACCCCCAGGAGCAGTCACAGCTTTAAAGGAATTGTCACCTCAGCACCCATGTAAACACTCCGGGACTGAAAGTAAGATTGTTAAGTCTAGGACACACTGCAGAAAGTTGAACTTTTTAGAAGGCTAAATTATTTAGTAGAGGGTACTGGTAAGGATTCTGGGCTTTGGAGTACAATAGATCTAGGTGATCATCTCAACGTCATCTCTTTCTAGGTTTGTAGCCTTGAGTTTTTTCACCTCTGTGAACCCCATGCTCCTTATCTGGGGAACAAGGGGAACATTAGTGCAGTTGCTTGGGGCGGTGGTGAGGACTAAACAATGTTTGTAAAGCGCTTAAGATGGAATCTGGCACAATGAACAGTCCATACTTGTTAGCTATTATCATTATTAATGGCATCATCATCGTCACTCCTGTTATCACAACAAAAAGAAGAGATTGTTTCTTGAACCTTACAGCTAGGGTGTGAGCAGGGAAGCTGGGAGGCAACTTTCCAGAGATCTGACAGAAACGGAGCTACTGCTCACGAGACAGAAGTGCCCATTAAAGCCCATCTAGTGCAAGGCGTCTTCTCTTGAGAGTGAAGGAGTCTTGATTAGGGCCAGGAGCAGTCACTGGCTGGTGCTACAATCTGCTTTAAATCAAATTTGCCCAGCTCACTGTCTGATAACAGCCTGATTAAGGAAAATGGGTACCATAAATTTGATTCAATATTTGAGAAGAGAAAAGGAGGTGGTCATGTATCATCAGGGAAAAGCCTTTTCATGACAGCAGGAACTCACTGGCACTCAGGAGTCGTGAAAAAGTAAAGGCATTTTGGGGGAGTAGGAGTAACGCAGGAGCAGGCAAGGTAGAAAAGAGCTCCGGCCAATTACAGACTCCACACCCTGAGTCTCCAGCAGGGTAAGGAATGCTTTACTCTGATGTACCTGATTCCAGAGGTTCTCATACTTCCTTTTCCTCTGACCTCCTGGGCTCTCAGGCTCAACAGACTCCAAACCAGACTCAGAGTGGCGCATCTCTTGGCCTGTTCTTCTCAGGCTCCGTTATCTTGGCTCAGAGAATTCGCACTCACCTGCCTGGCAGCATCCCCAACCCCGACTTCTGCCTCCCTGAAGTCCCACTGACTACACCTCCTCGTTATCTCTTAACTCTGTGCAGCCCTCTCTATTCCCACAGTCACGGCTGCCTTGTCCAGGCCATTTTCTCTTCTACCTGGGTTATGGAAAAACCTCCTACCCAACCACCATCCTCTAGTGATGATGTCCGTGCCAGTCCATCTCGAGCTTTACAGCCACAGGGATCTTTTCAAAATGACATTTGACCATGTAACTGCTCCACCTAAAAGCATCTTATGACTTAATAGTATTTATATAATATAATCCAAATTCTTTTGGTAGGCATTTAATAAATCTTTTTAAAAAATTTATTTATTTAAAGATTTTATTCATTTATTTATTTGACAGACAGAGATCACAAGTAAGCAGAGAGGCAGGCAGAGAGAGGAGGAAGTAGGCTCCTCGCTGAGCAGAGAGCGGGCTCGATCCCAGGACCCTGGGATCATGACCTGAGCCAAAGGCAGAGGCTTTAACCCACTGAGCCACCCAGGCGCCCCATAAATCTTTTTTTTTAAGATTTATTTATTTTCTCCAGGGAGAGAGTGCACGTGTGTGTGAGAGCACGGGGGAGGGGGAGGAGACAAGCAGACTCCCTGCTGAGTGGGAAGCCCAATCCCAGGACCCTGAGACCATGACCTAGCCAAAATCAAGAGTCAGACACTTAACCAACTGAGCCACCCAGGCTAGCATTGAACACCTTCATGATCTGCTTTTTTTTTTTTTTAAACCTTTTTCTCCAGTCATTTCTCCCTTCATTTCTATCTCTCAGACAAATTCTCTCTATACCCTAATCCACAGGATTGCTTTTGATTCCCTGCACAAACCAACCACCCAGGATCTCTAACTTCTAGGACTTTATCTCCTGCCTTCTTCCTATTCTCTATAACCTACCTAGAAACACCCACTTCAAGATGCAGCTCAAATGTTTTATCCTCTGGCAAGCAGTACTTGATTAGGCAAGAGAGGTACTTACTTCCTTGGCTGTGCTTGCACAGTCCCCCATATGCCCCTCAATCTCCACCAGTATCCCCCTGGATTACAGATTGTTATGTCTCTGTTTGTCTCCCAGTCCCCCAAGCCGAGAATGGTGGCTCTCACCTCAGAGTCAGAAACCATGTCTGTACCATCTCAACCCCAACACCCTTCCTTTTGACACACATGACAGGGTCCTAGGTACATGGGCATGGAATCGGAACGAAGGTATTGAAGTTTAACTCCTATTTTTCATGGATGGATTCCATAAGTTTCTTGCATGGAGTATTAAGTCCCGAAAATAAATTTATTTCTTATCCTCAAAACTAATACATGTTCTAGAATCAGCATTTTCAACAGAACTTTCTGAGATGACGGAGATGTTCTGTATCTGCACTATCTGGTACTGTACTCACTAAGCACGTGTGGCTAGTGAGCATGTGGAATGTGGCTAGGGCAAATGAGAACTGAATTTTTAATTTTATAAAATTTTAATTAACTTAAATTTAAAAAGTCACCTGAGGCTACCAGGTAGTATATTGGACAGTGCAGCTCTACGTTCTCCTCGGTAAAGAGCCTTCCTAGAAATAAACGTTCCCTCACTAATTTACTAGCCTCTGCCTTGCTCTTGGGGCTTAAGGGACTGCACAGAGTAGGATGGGGTGCTTTATGAAGCTCAAAGCCACAAAGAGCCCTGCATGGCCAATGATACCTGCCTACCTGCAGAGGGCCTGGAAAAACCCATCATTCTATAGGAACTAGAGCTCATAGACTGACTTTCTAGACAGCCCCAGGCTGCACTGGTGGATTCCAAGCAAATTCCAGGCGAATAAAAAGGACAGAGTCAACGGGCCAGCTCTGCAAACCCTGGCAATATTAAAGTCTGCTGACTGCAATTCAAACATTCAGGTGGCCCAGAATTAAGGACCAGCAGATAGGAATTTGATGGAAATAATGAATTAGAGGCTCAAAAGAGGGGGTTTGGCCATCTGCAAAATCGGATAGCTCTGTTTACAGGACAAAGTGTCACATGGGTTCAAAACTCTGTCATTTACAGATTATCCTGAAGCCAGTAAGCATCACCGAAAAGGAAATATCAGAAAACCAGGGCAGAATGTCAGCACCCAGACTCCTCCCTCCCTCAGTTGTGCAAAGGGCCCTGACGGTCTTGGAACTTTACTTTCAGCCTCAGCCTAACACTTAGCCTGTCTTTATTCCATGGCATTTGGGTGACAAAGGAAAGGCACTTTGGTCCTGCGTAGAGAAGTATGGGTCCTGTGTAGAGAACTAGTACCCCATCTCCTCCACTTTTCATTGATGGGGATATCTCTTCACCCCTCTTTATTGGTGTTCTGGAATCTCATGACTTCCATTTTTAAAAACTGTTCAGTAAAGGTGAATTATTGAAATGTCTATATAAATGTGATTTAAGGGGCACCTGGGTGGCTCAGTGGCTTAAAGCCTCTGCCTTCGGCTCAGGTCATGATCTCAGGGTCAAGCCCCACATCGGGCTCTCTGCTCGGCAGGGAGCCTGCTTCCTCCTCTCTCTGCCTGTCTCTCTGCCTGCTTGTGATCTCTGTCAAATAAATAAATAAAATCTTTAAAAAAATGTGATTTAAGCTTTATTTTTCACATAAACTAATAAGCCAGAAAAGTTATATCAACAGACACCTGTCCTGATTTTGGGGACTCACTGTGTGCTCTAGGACTTCAAAGTGAGGAAGTAAAAGATCTGTGCTAGGCAGGGAGATTAGGATCCTGCCCAGATAGGATGAGAAGTTATGCCAGAAAACACTGAAGAGAGTGGCTCGGTTCCTTAGCCTCACTGCATCTCAGATGCAGTTAAAGAGCCTAAACTTTGACATTAGGCAGGCATAGGTTCGAATTCAGGCTCTGGGTTCAAATCCAAAACATTAAAGGGCAGGTCTCTTTGAACTTCAGTTTTTTAATCCATAAAATAGGAATAACAATGCCTATAACGCTAGAGGCTGTGAGAAAAGAATAAGACAGTAATATAAAATACCAAGCCCAGTGCCTAGCATGTAACAGGTAACGCAGTGACTTCTAGATCTTATTCCTGAATTGTAAACAGATGAAGTTTAGAGTTGAAGTTTAGAGTTCAGATTTTTGTTCTCCCCAGATATATTCTCTTACCTGAGTAATCCGGATGTGATTAAAAATAATAATAATAATAATAATAATAATAGTGTAGCGCTCTGCTAAGGTTTGCTGCCCAGTATCATTTATTTTGCATAATTACCTTGTTGCAGAGGTACTGGTATTATCCCATTTTATAAATTCAGAAGGTAGGAATCAGAGACTTGACTATGGTTACAAAGCTAGTCAGTGGCAGAGTAAGGATTCAAAGCCAGGCCTGTTTGTGGCATTAATTCCTATCCTCTGGAGGGTCAGTGGGGGCACTCCATCCCCACCTTGCAGGGATGACAGTGGTTTGGTTGCTTGGGACTTCCTCCCCAGCCAACAGCCCTTACCTGTGTAGTTCTTCATCAGAGGGTGAGTACTTGGCAGTGACATCAGCCAGCTCCCCGAAGATCTGTTTGCTATAAACGGTGAGGGAGGACAGCAGGATTAATTCCTGCCAGGTAGAGCTCAGGAGGCACGTGTAATCCTTGATTGAGAGCTCGCAGAAGAAAGGCAGTTTCTTGATCCAGGCAATCTGCCTAAAGAGTAGCTCATCGGCCAGGCGGCAAAGCAGGGCAAACAGCTCTGCCTGAGTCACAGCGTACCTGGGGGGAGGGACAGTGGAAAATCACTTCCAGTGGCCAGAGAGGGAGGATGGGGGCACAGCAAAAGGGTACTCCTAAGAGTAAAAAGGGTCTCTGGCAGTGGGTTCCTTCCCTTGATCATGGGTATCCAGCTCCATTCGATGGAGTCTAATGATAAAGGGGCAAGACTGGGGCCAGCAGCAAGCTCAGGGCTTAAGAGGTGGGTTTGGAGAGAAAAGGTTGAAGAAAGGGAAAGGAAGCTTGGAAATTTGTGCAATTATTAGGGAATATGACTTTTAATGTTAACATTCAACATGCCACTAATGTTCCACGTGCTAGAGAAAATTCCATCACTCCTGCATTATTTTTGGCAATGAGAGCTCCAGTAGGGTGGATCTGGTGCCCACCCAACACAGGGACTGGCACAGAAATGCTCCCAAGGCCACTGGGCTGAAAGAGAAGAGAAAACACGTTTAGCTTTCCCTGCTCTCAGTGCACCCCCTGGTGGAGAGACTTCAGAAACTAAAGTTGCTCTGCCCTTGAAAGCCGCCCCTGCACGGAAGGAGCAGGGCATTTCTCATCTCTGGGCTGGATGAGACAGGGTCCCAGTTTTCTTCTTCTCAAGGCCCCTGGCATGACTCGTCTTCATATCCCCACACCCAGGTTTATAAAGATTTTGTGTGGCCTTCTTGTAAGCAGATCTTTGAATTTCCTCTTCTGATACTGGAGACTAGCTTGAGAAATCTCAGGATACGTCCTAGGAGGTCTGAATTGATAACAAACAGCCTGTGCCTCAGGCTCAAAGAGTAATGGGTGCAGCAACTGATGGGCCTAGAGGCTGAGCGAGCATCCACTCAGGTAGAGCTGACAGAGGAACAAGAGTACCCCTTCACCCCACTCAGGTCTGTACACAGCGCACATGGCACCAGCGCACACGGTACACTGGCTGGGGATGCAGACAGTGCGCACACAGGTAGTGCCTTGTTCAGGAGCCTAGACTTGATGTCTAATTATTCCCAGAATTACAGCTCATCTCTGGCTCAGAGCCAGAGAAGCACTCAGGCCACCTCAGGGCCTGGCTTACCTAGCCCCAAGCAGAAACAAAACTCCTTTAATCCCATTTCCCTAAGGATTCAGAAACAGCCCCAACTCTGAAAAAAGATGCTCAAGAGAAAAACAAGGGACTGCTGACTTCAAAAATACAGATTTGTCCTCTGAGGCGAGTCATTACTCATTACCCCCCCTGACTCATTTCAGAGCCTATGGTGTTAGCAGCCAGGGATGAAGGTGGGTGTGGGGTCAGGGTCATTGTGAAGTTGCAAGGGCTCAACAGGGCACTCACCCATCTTCAATCAACATGGGCGTGCCCAGTGGCTCCAGGTCCTCGGCTGACACCAGCTGGTGAATCAGACTGTATGACTGGGGATCCAGGCTGCGAGCTTGTGGGGGCAGGAGTGGCGAGTGGGCAGCATAGCTAAAAAGGTGCGGTAGGTATTGATAGTGCGGAGGCACAGACATCCCCATGTACTGCTCCCTGAATGCCATGAATCCATTTAGTTCCACAGACCTACTGAAGAGAAAAGTCTCATGTCAAGCAGAACCATGGCAGGTCTACTGTCTGCTCGAGGTGGCTAGGGCGTTTTTTGGCCATGCAGTCTGTCTTCATCAGGGACATAATTAATGGTTACATGCATGTCTCCCCCACTAGACAGGGACTCTTTGCAGGTGTGTATATGTGTCACTTATCACTGGACACACAGGACCTGGCAAAATAGGTACTGAATAAAGAGTGGTTGAATAAATTCTTTGTATAGGTGTCACGTTTAAAGAGATTTTAATGGATACTCACAAACTATGATCCACAAAGGTGGAGGTATGTATTTTTTTTACTGCTAGGAAAACTAAGGCATGGACAGGCTAAGGTCCTTGCCAGGGCATAAAACAAATCCAGCACCTAGCAAGGAATCTGACATGGAATCTGGCAAAGAATGTGGCATGACTCCCTAAACATTTAAAGGAAGGAACAAAAAAGGAACAACCAAATGAATAAAAGTTGTAACAAAATAACCAAGAGAAAGGCAGATTCTTATCTTTTTCTCTTTCCTGGAGAAATCTAACCACTCTTGTCACCTAAAACAAAAATCCTCACCTAAAATCTAAAATCCTATATGCATTTGCTGTAACAGGGGTTGACAAACTGTAGCCTATGGCCCATTTGGTAAATAAAATTTAATGGAACACAGCCACATTCAATCATTTATATAGTCTCTGGCTGCTTTTGCTCTGTAATGGTAGGGCTGAGTAGTTGAGACCCAGACTGTGAGGCCCGCAAAGCCTAAAATATTTATTATCTGGCCTTTATAGGAAGAGTTTATCAATCTGTTTCCTATAAGAAAGATTTCTGCAAAAAAGGAAATCTATCCTGGTCGTTGATGGCTACATTTTTTATACGTAGCGACTAAGTTAAGATAATATTCTTGAACCAAGAGTCTTCAAGTTAGTATTCCATGATAGCAGCAAATTTAATTAGCTTAAAAATTTTCAGTTTCTTAAAACTTACAAAGTGAAAATCTTCACTCTTGCTGAGACAGAGAAATGAGAACTTAATTCAATATTGTCAGTGTGGTTTGTTTTCTTTCCATGATCAGTGTGAGAGAAGAGCTACATTTAAAACGGTGTTCTGTTAGGCAAAGAACGTACGGGCACAGGCGGCGGCCGTATCACTTTATTAGCCTGCAGAAGAGAACGCTGACATTTGTCAAGGTCTTTAACAAAAAGTAGGCTGTGAAATGCTGCTTTGTGTCATCCCGGCCCCTCCCCAAAAGACTGAGGGAGCAAGAGTGTAATGGCTGAGACAGACTGGCAGGAATACCTAGCCCAGAGGTTCCCTGTGGGTCTACTCTTTGGGTGGTCCTAGATGATGCTGGGTTTGCCTTCAAGCTCACCTGGAGGACAGTGTGGAGCCTGGTGAGGGCTGGTTGCTCTCTGAAGCCCTGTTCCCAGGGGAACTGTGGTCGCTGTCACCATGGTTGCTCCAGTGATTGGCTTCTTCCTCAAATTCCTGCCCAGACATGATCCTTTCGATCTCTTCCTCTGATATCTTTGATAAGGAATTGATACATGTTAGATTAGGTGCTCGGGATAGCCTTTGTTCCTTCTTTAGGACCAAGAATTCATTTAAATTTCATAAGGAGGGGTGCCTGGGTGGATCAGTGGGTTGAAGCCTCTGCCTTTGGCTCAGGTCATGGTCCCAGGGTCCTGGGATCGAGCCCCGTGTCGGGCTCTCTGCTCAGCGGGAGCCTGCTTCCCCCTCTCTCTCTCTGCCTACCTCTCTGCTTACTTGTGATCTCTGTCTGTCAAATAAATAAATAAAATCTTTAAAAAATAAAAAAATAAAAAAAAATAAACTTCATAAGGATTCCCAGAACTCTCTAGAGAGATACCCAGATTCCCTCCCCTCCATCTCCATACTCCACGGCTTCTTACTCATCTTAGGACAGCTCAGCTGCTTGCTTCCCAGCACCGTGGCTCACTATGGCCTTCCTCTTGTCCGTTTACCCTCCTCTCAAGCCACAAAGCCGCCATGTTCTTCAACACTCTTTGAGTCTATTCTTTCCTACCCCTGAAACACTACTCTTCAAGAACAAACTCCTGCGTACCTTTTAAGACCCAATTCAAATGTCACCTTCTTTGTGAATCCTTCTACACTACTTAGACAAAATTTTAGGCCCCTCCTCTATCCACTTCTAATTCTGTGTATTCTGAGATAAACAGAATAGCACAGTAGTTACGAGGATGAATTCTAGAGTCAGACCACCTTTGTTCCAATATAGTTTCTGCTACTTTCTAGTTGTACAAGTCATTAAACTATTTGAACTTAAATTCAAAATCTGAACAAAAATTATCCATGTGGTAGAGAAAATAATAGTATCTGTCTCATGATTGTTGTGAGGATTAAATTAGTTAATACATCATCACATGGTTAGAAAAGGGCTTAACACATAGCAACAATTATGGAAGGTTGACAAGGATATCTTCACCATCACTGCTGTTTTTAATAGCACTTATGGTAATGTATCATAAAAACACCCTCTATCAGACCTAAAGCTGTAATAGAACCCAGAAAAAAGTACTCAAAGAATGCACATTGGGTAAATAAACAAATGTTCACTTATTAAGTACTGTCCATGGAACTTCACAAGGATTTTCAGGATGAGAAAGATATTCCCAAGCCTACAGAATAAATAAGAAGAAATTTTAGCTCAGACAAGTGAATTGACTTGCCCAAGATCACACTCTGTGCCTGCGTCTCAGGAGGAGTTTGAGGAAGAGGCCAAAGTACCCAAGTATTCAGTCCATGGCTCCTGCTACCATACCGTAAAGGGAGTGAATAAATACATCTTCTATAAAGTGTTAAACCCAGAGCTGAAGCCTAACTGCTAAACTCAGCACAAAATGAGCGTGAACAGGAAGGAGTAAGGGCCAGATAAATTTTTATTTCTTGCTCCTACAGAAAGCCTGGGAGGACATTTTCTTTCAAGTCCGTCTGACTCAAACCTACATAACTCTTTGTTCCAGCAGCCTGTGAGGAAACCTTGAGTGGCTCTGATCATCAATATAGGAGGCATCTAGAACTGGAAGCCAGCCGGCACACAGGACTTGGGAGGGAAAACAAGAAACATTTAACTGGTAGAGAAGTTGAGCGATTTGTCGTAAACTTAGATTGTATACTGAATTACAGGGGTAGTCTTTCTTTAGTCAATAACATGTAACAAAACAAACAAACCTTTTCTTTTAGGAATCTTTAGAACACTGAAATCTCAGATGTTATAAAACATGTAAAGACAAAAGACGCCATCAAACTACAAGACATCTACTGAGACCCTGACTGAAGCAGGCTCAGTAATGGTAGTAAGAGCAATTCCAGAGCTTGGAGGTCATGCAAGCACTTGAGCTGGGTGAAAAGAAGCAGTCCTAATAAATCAGATTATTCCAGCTGGGAGCCAAAGTTGGACTGCATCTGTTCCTCCCTATGGGTCCCACAGGACACTGGGCAATCACTGTTAAATTAAGGGGATAGAACATATCAGGAGGGCTTGTATCTAGGTTCAGATCTCATCTGTCATTTCCTAACTGGGTGCGTACTGTTGGGCACGTCACTCAAGTCCTCTGAGCCTTCCCTCCCCTGTAAAATGAAGCTACTACCACCTACTGAGTAGTCTGGGCTCCCTCTTAGGGTACAGAACTGAATCAGTCAGACTTGAGAGGCTAATCTAAGATAACAGGTACTCAATAAATCATAATTTTATCCCTGATTTTTAATTATAATTAAACATAGTTAAGAACTTGGGAAATCACAGCTCTTTCTTCCTAACACTCCCTAAAAAGTAAGAAAAAAAGGGAAAATTATACGCTCAGTATCAGAAAGTCAAATGCAATGACATATGAAATCAGCTTCTCTGAGCATCAGCTCCCTCCATTCTAGAAAGAACAGAAAGTCTAGAGACGTAAGCACCTGAAGATCCCTACCATGGTGGGAGAAGGGTACTCAAAAGACACTGAGTAATGAATGCTGAGAAGGTTTTTCATTGAGGAAACGCTTAAGAATTCTTTCCAATAGATAAACGTTTTACTACATCTAAATATAAAAAGAATGACTACAAATAAAGGCTATACATGAAAAGTCTACACTAACATTATACTCGATGAAAAACTAAAAGTTTTTTCTCTAGGATCAGGATCAAGGCAAAAATGCCCATTTTCACCATTTCTCTTTAAAGTCCCAGCCATTGCAATTAGATATGTAAAAGAAATAAAAAGCATCTAAATCAGAAAGAAGTAAAATTATCTCAGTTCACAGATGACATGATCTTATAAATAGAAAACCAAAAACCTGTTAGAACAAAAGAACTCAGCAAAGTTTCAGGATACAAAATCAACAAAAAAAATCAGCTGCATTTCTATATAGTAACAGTGAATCTGGAAAGGGAATTAAGAAAACAATCTCAGTTACGATAGTATCAAAAAGAATAGGATACTTAGGAATAAACCTAACGAAAAGGATGAAAGACTTGTACAGTGCTGAAAGAAATTAAAGTTATACTGGGGTGCCTGGGTGGCTCAGTCGTTAAGTGTCTGCCTTTGGCTCAGGTCATGATCCTGGGGACCTGGGATCAAGCCCCGCATTGGGCTCCCTGCTCGGCAGGAACCCTTGCTTCTCCATTTCCTACTACCCCTGCTTGTGTTCCTTGTCTCGTTATGTCTCTCTCTGTCAAATAAATAAATAAAATCTTCAAAAAAAAAGAAAGAAAAGAAAAAAATTCACAGATTGAAAGATAATTATTGTTAAAATATCCATACTATCCAAGGTGATCTACAGATTCAATGCGATCCCTATCAACATTCCAATGGCATTTTTGGCAGAGATAGAAAAAAAAAAATCCCAAAATTCATATGGAAACCCAAAGAACCCCAAATAGCCAAAACAATCCAACAAAGAACAAAAAGCTAGAGGTCTTACACTTTCTGGTTTCAAAACATATTAAAAGTTACAGTAACCAAAAGAGCATGGCACTGGCATGAGGACAGGCCTATAGATATCAATGGAACAGAAGAGAGAAGCCCCCACATAAACCCACATATATATAGTCAAAGCTGCCCAGACTACGTAAGAATAGTCTCTTCAACAAGTGGTACCGGGAAAACTAGATATTCATATACAAAAGAAGGAAATTAGATTCTGTTCTTATACTTCATACAAAAATCAACTCAATATGGGTTAAAGACTTAAATATAAGACCCGAAACTATCAAAGTCCTAAAGGAAAACAGAGAAAAAGCTTCTTGACATTGGCCTTAGCAATGATTTCTTGAATATGATATTCAAAGTACAGGCAATAAAAGCAAAAATAGACAAATGGAATTACATCAAACTAAAAAGCTTCTGCAAAGCAAACAATCACAAAGTCAACAGGAACGTACAGAATGAGAGGAAGTATTTGCAAACCATTTATCTGATAAAGGTTAATATCCAAGAGATATCAGGAATTCCAACAACTCAACAGCAAAACCCCCAAATAACCTTATTTAAAAATGCAGCACCTGGGTGACTCAGTCGATTAAGTGTCTGCCTTTGGCTCAGGTCATGATCCCCAGGGTCCTGGGACAGAGCCCTGCATCGGCCTCCCTGCTCAGTGGGTAGCCTGGTTCTTCTGTATCCCTCTGACTGCCACTGCCCCTCTTGTGGTTTGCCTCTCTCTCTCTCTCTCTCTGTCAAATAAATATTAGGGTGTCTGGGTGTCTCAGTCATTAAGCATCTGCCTTCGGCTCAGGTCGTGATCCCGAAGTTCTGGGATTGAGTCCCCCGTTAGGTTCCATGCTCAGCGGGAAGCTTGCTTCTACCTCTCCTACTCCCCGTTTGTATTCCCTCTCTTGCTGTGTTCTCTCTCTGTCAAATAAATAAATAAGATCTTTAAAAATAAATAAATAACATTAAAAAAAAATTAAAATGGGCAAAAGGGACACTTGGGTGGTTTAGTCAGCTAAACGTCTGCCTTTGGCTCAGGTCATGATCCCAGGGTCCTGGGACTGAGTCACACATTAGGCTCCTTGCTCAGTCAGGAGACTGTTTCTCCCTCTGCCTGCCGTTCCCCCTGCTTGTGCTCCCTCAACCCCTCTCTGACAAATAAATAAAATCTTTAAAAAAAATAAATAAAAATGGGCAAAAGATTTGAATAGACATACAAAGAAATACCTTCTCCAAAGACGTGTAAACAGCACAACCAACATGTATATGAACAGATGCTCAATATCACTAATCAGAAAAACACAAATTAAAACCATAATGAGGTACTGCCTCACAACTATCCAGAACACTATTATCAGAAAATAATACCAGAGAAGATACAGAAAATTGGAACCCTTATGCACTGCTGGGTGGGAATATAAAATGAGGGGGCCACTATGGAAAACAGTATAGAGGTTTCTCAAAAAATTAAAAATAAAACTACCATATGACCCAGTAATCCCCCCTTCTGAGTATTTACCCAAAAGAACTGAAATCAGGATCTCTAAGAGATATCTGCCCTCCTACATTTACTGAAGTATTATTATTCATAATGGCCAAGAGATGGAAACAATTTTTTTTTAAGATTTTATTTATTTATTTGACAGACAGAGATCACAAGTAGGCAGAGAGACAGGCAGAGAGAGAGGAAGGGAAGCAGGCTCCCTGCTGAGCAGAGAGCCCGATATGGTGCTCGATCCCAGGACCGAGATCATGACCGAGTAGAAGGCAGAGGCTTTAACCCACTGAGCCACCCAGGCGCCCCAGAAACAATTTTTTAAAATATTTTATTTATTTATTTGACAGAGAAAGAGAGAGATCACAAGTAGGCAGAGAGGCAGGCAGAGAGTGGGGGAAGCAGGCTCCCCGTGAGCAGAGAGCCTGATGCAGGGCTTGATCCCAGGACCCTGAGATTGCGACCTGAGCCGAAGGCAGAGGCCTAACCCACTGAACCACCCAGGCGCCCCAGAGATGGAAACAACTTAAATATCCGTTGATGGATTAATGGATAAACAAAACATGGTATATAAATACAACAGAATATTTAGCCTTAGAAATCCTAGCATATGTTACAATGTGGATGAAGCTTAAGGATATTATGCTAAGTGAAGGAAGTCACAGAAGAACGAATACTGCATGATTCCACTTACATGAGGTATCAAAAGTAGTCAAACTCTTAGAAGAGGAAGTAGAATGGTGGTTGCCAGGGACAGGGAGAAGGGCAAATAAGGAGTTGTTGTTCAATGGGTATAAAGTTTCAGTCATAAGATGAAAAGGCTGTAGAGATCTACTGTACAAAAATGTACGTATAGCAAATAATACTGTGCCATATACTTAATTTGTTAAGGAAATAAATTTCATGTTATATGTTTTTTACCACACACGCACAAAAGAACACATATGGGTATAGACCAAAATAAACTAATTTTTATTATAACATGAATAAAAAATGTTTGATTATTTATTTATTTTTTAAAAAGATTTTATTTACTTGACAGATCACAAGTAGGCAGAGAGGGCAGGCAGAGAGAGAGGAGGAAGCAGGCTCCCCAACTGAGCAGAGAGCCCAACGTGGGGCTCGATCCCATGACCCTGGGATCATGATCTGAGCCGAAGGCAGAGGCTTTAACTCACTGAGCCACCCAGGTGCCCCAAAATGTTTGATTTAAAAAAAAAGATATGAGGGGCACCTGGGTGGCTCAGTGGGTTAAAGCCTCTGCCTTCGGCTCAGGTCATGATCCCAGGGTCCTGGGATCGAGCCCCACGTCGGGCTTTCTGCTCAGTGGGAAGCCTGCTTCCTCCTCTCTCTCTCTGCCTGCCTCTCTGCCTACTTGTGATCTGTCTGTCAAATAAATAAAAATCTTTAAAAAAAAAAAAAAAAAAAGATATGAATACAGCACATGCCCACAGCCCAACTGAGTGCATATATGTGCTAGGAACTGTCCCATATTTCATAGACATATGTCTCAAAATACCTACAAATTCCTGTCTTTCTCTCATTCCCTCACATTCAACTGGATAAATCCTATTAATTTTTCCTATTACATCTCTCCTGAATCTATTCTCTCCCCTTCAAACTGTACTACCATTGCCCTACTTAAAACCACTATCTGTATCTCTTAGCTGGACTGCTGTAAAATCTTTGAACTGTTTTTTCCTCTGTTTCCAGTTTCATTGACACTTACCCAGCTCCTCAGAAACCACTTCTATTGCTAGAATGATCTTTCTTTTTTATTTTTATTTATTTGACAGAGATAGAAAAAGAGAGCAAAAGCAGGGGGAGCGGCAGAGGGAGAAGGAGAAGCAGACTCCCAACTGAGCTGGGAGCCCAATGTGAAACTCGATCCCAGGACCCTTGGATCATGATCTGAGCTGAAGGCAGACTGCTTAACCGACTGGGCCACCCAGGTGCCCCTTTCTTTTTTAATTGTAATTTTATAATTTCTTTTTAAAAAGATTTATTTGTTTTAGAGGAAGAGAGCATGTGCATGGGGGCAGAGGGAAAGGGAGAGAGAAAATCTTCAACAGAATTCCTTCTGAAAAAGGAGCCTGATGTGGGGCTTGATCCCACAACCCTGAGTTCACAACCTGAGCTGAAATCAAGGGTGAGTCACTCAACCACTGAGCCACCTAGGTGCCCCTAGAATGATCTTTTTAAAATGCAAATTTGACCATGTCTCTCTCTACTTAAAAGCTTTTAGTAGTTGCCTCTTGGTCCAGAGCAATAATCCCTGAGGCATGGTCCTGCTCACTGGTGTGCTGAGGATTCACTTGTTGGGTCATGAACAGATCCAATTTTCTACCTTCATGAAGTTCTTCTGTTGGCAAGTGAGAACAAGTTGGCGTAGGCTGGCCCTACGAAGAATTTACCTAGGAAGCTATAATCAAGGCCATTCTTTAGAGAAAAGATTCCACACTCAAGGAATCTGCCTTCTCTTCTGCCACTCTACTACATGTGCCCAGTGCTCCAGCCCAACTCCATCAATTTCCTGGGATTCCTTAAAGATTCATCTTGTGGTCTTTTTACTGCCTGTTCTGTCTAGCAGTAACAGAAGATATTTGGCTCCCCAACCCTTCCCAGCATAGCTAATTCCTCCTTTTCCTTCAAGACTCAGCTCAAACTTTACCCCCTCTAGGAAGGCTTCAGTTCCCAACCATGCTCTAATTAAAAAAAAAAAATAATAATAAAAAAAAATAAAGGTCCCTCCTTTCTGTACGCTCTGAGCATCCTCTGTTACCATTCACTATACTCGGATGTCTAGTCACACATCTGTCTCTCCCACTAGACTGAGTTCACAGTACAAAGGACCTGCACACAGTAAGTACTTAAATATCGGTGGGATAGAATGGTTATTATTATTCCTATTCTACAAGTAAGGCAATGAACTTTCCGCTGATATATCTTTAGAGACATTGAACAGCAAAGCAGTCTTACTGATTTCTGCCAGGATAAGTTATCAACAACCTTGAGTGACTGACATAAAAAACCTTCTGGATGGTTTAGAACCAGAATTAGATTCATTTCCTGTGAAATCCTTGGGAAGGATTGAGGGAAGCACAAGAAGAGCTTTAATCATTATGTTGCATATTTAAGATTTTCAAAGCACTTTCATAACCAGGCTCTAAAAACAATTTTACGGTAATGAAAGCAAGATGGCTCCCCCCATCAGGAGATGAGAGGATCAAGGTAAGTAGCTATAGGAACATCGAAAGCATTGGGCTTCTAGGACAGATCACAAGGACTGAGGCCTAGAACTCACCTGGACGGGCCCAATGCTCTTATTTCGGCCTCCAGGCATGCCATCTTCTCTGATTGCTGGAAGGAAACATAAGTCAAGACAGTCAAAAGCATACCCACAGAAATCTAAGCACAGAAAGAGAACTTACTTGGCCCAAAACACGAGGTAGTAATTGGTGAAATCAAGATTAAAACAGAGGTCTTCCTGGACCCAAAGTACATACACTTCACATTATTGTAGGCTACCTCATAAGCAACAGATTCTTCTGGGCCCCCAAGGCAATGGACACATACTGCACACCTGCATACATTTAAAATGCTCAGCAAAGGTGACGGCATTATTAATAGTCCTGTGCACAGTTACGAATATCTCATCAGGATGATGCATCTGAAAGCCTTCAGTAAATTCAAAGAGAGGAAGAGAAAGAACATTTCCATTTTTATTGTATTTTATTTTTTTAAGATTTTATTTATTTGTCAGAGAAAGAGGGAGCACAAGCAGAGGGAGCAGCACACAGAGCCGGCAGAGGGAGAAGCAGGCTCCCTGCTTGTGGGACTCGATCCCAGGATCCTGGGATCGTGATCTGAGCTGACAGCAGATGCTCAACCAACTTAGCCACCCAGGTGCCCAGAATATTTCCATTGTTAAAGAAAGTTTTTTGGGGGGCACCTGGGTGGCTCAGTGGGTTAGAGCCTCTGCCTTCAGCTCAGGTCATGATCCCAGGGTCTTGGGATGGAGCCCCACATCAGGCTCTCTGCTCAGCAGGGAGCCTGCTTCCTCCTCTCTCTCTCTGCCTGCCTCTCTGTCTACCAAATAAAAAAATAAAATCTTAAAAAAAAAAAAAAAAGTATTTTTTTTAAATTTCCAGGCTAAGCTTGAGTCTAATTTTTAGGATGAGGAGAACAGATTTTTTTTTTTAATTAACCAAAATTTTGATCTGACTGGTTTCTCCCTACAAAAGCAGTCAATAAAGGGGTGCCTGGGTGGCTCAGTCGCTTAAGCATCAGACTCTTGGTTTTGGCTTAGGTCATGATTTCGGCCCTGTGTAGGACTGTGCACTGGGTGTGGAGTTTGCTTGAGATTCTCTCTCTCCCTCTGCCCTATGTCCCCAACGTGTGTGTGTGTGTGTGTGTGTGTGTGTAGAGTAGCAAGAGATGGAACTTGGAAGTTGAAGAGGCCGACTGGGGCCAGATTAGAGATAGCCTTTAATGTCAGGGTAAGAGTTTGAACTTCAGCAGAAGCAGCTGAGGGTAAGATGGAATGCAGAGGATGTGGTCGGGTTGGCATTTTTGAAAAATCTTTGTGATGGCTGCTGTGGAGGCTAGCTTGGAGAAGGCAATGTTAACAACAGAAGATAAGCAAACAGCATCATATGACAGTAAGCTCTGCTATATATACATATACATATATAAATAATATATCTTCTTCCAAAAAAATTAACATGAAGAATCTAGAAAGTCCTTGGGGGCAGGATTGAGGGTTCTAAGCATAAAGCTCAGTTCCTGTGGTAACTGAAAGTCTAAGAGGAAGTTCATTTTCCTTACACATTTCAGAATTAGACAAGCTTGTCTAAATCCAGTTTTGGGGGCACCTCTGTGGCTCAGTCTGTGAAGTGTCTGCTTTCAGTTCAGGTCATGATCCCAGGGTCCTGGGATCAAATCCCACATGGGCTCCCTGCTCAGTGGGGAGTCTGCTTCTCCCTCTGTTCCTCACCCCTAACACCACTAGTGTGCATTCTCTCACAAAAATAAATACATTAAAAAATCTTTTAAAAATAAATAAATCTAGTTTTTGCCTGGTCTGTGTAACTACAGGCAAATTTCTTCACCTCAGTTTCTTGAAGAATAAATGGGGCTACTGGACCCTATCTTATAGGTTTTACTGAGGATTACGTATAAAATAACATAGCTAAAGCAACAAGCATAGGGCCTGACACGTAAACTAGGTATTCAGTAACTAATCCTTCCCTCTAACCAGCCTCTTTTCTATGTACACAGTAATTAGAAAATCCAAGGTTCTATTCCTAGCTTTGATGGAGACTTGACATCTTCATCTGTGAAATGGAGACAACATAGTCTTCTTTACAAGGCTGCTGTGAATTTGGAGTGGGAAACATTCACAGCTTATATTAGAATCAGATGCATACTGGTTTTTGTCTGGAGATCTCTTTTAACCTAACTGCAAGCTCTAAAAATCCTTAAAATTCCCTCTCTGCTGTTCTAGAGTCAATGATAGACTTCAGACACTTCTATACCAATACTGAGTTTTCTATGTCTTTGCTTCAGCTCACAGGTGCAGAATAAAGATCTATCATCAGCAGATCCAACACTGAATACATTTTACTGGATATCTCACTCTCACTGTCTTGGAGGTGAGGAAGGAACTCAACAGGTTTTTCTTTTCTTTTTTGTTAAGGGCCACAAATCTTAAAGATTTACAACTTACCAATTTTTTGTTCTGATATTTAAAAGCTCATGTTATCTCTCAACCCTCCCACCCCTTGGACTAAGGAAACTCACATATGATGGACACGTACTATGTTTTAGGTACCATCTTGTATAAAACAAACCCATGAGGGAAGTGTCAGTATCACTCCCATTGAACGAACGAATATAAGGCTCAGAAGAATGAACTATTTTGTTTACGGTAACAGAAACTAAACAGCAGAATCAGGGTTGGAATCCAGACTATTAGATTAAGACCAGACTTCTTTCCACACTAGTATTCCCCATACTATGTCTATATACCATAGCTGCATAAACTCTTAATTACACTACCCTAACATTCATTAAAATACACTGATTTTCCAGCCACTGAGGTGATAAAAAATTCCCTTTGAAAATTAACTTTGATTTTCTTAAAATTTGATTTAAAGAAGAATATAGGGGCACTTGGGTGGCTTGGTTGGGTGTCTGCCTTCAACTCAGGTCAGGATCCCCAAGTCCCAGGATCAAGCCCCACATCGGGCTCCCTGCTTGGTGGGGCATCTGCTTCTCCCTCTGCCCCTCCTCAGGCTCAGGCTCACTCTCTTTTGCTCTCTCAAATAAATAAAATCTTAAAAAAAAAAAAAAAAAAAAGACGAAATAAACAACAGTACTGGTTTGGTCGAAGATGGTAAAATTTGTCAAGATGGCATGAAACTGTCTGAAGTATGGGAAATAATACAATGTGTCACAGCACCCCTTTCAAAATAAAAACCTGGATCACAGTTTAAAGTTTATAATGTATTCACATATATAGTATCACATTTGATTCCTGGAAGGTCTACATTATTATTATCCTGTGTAGTATAGAGATGAAAAAACCTGAAGCTCAGAGAGGTAAAGGGACTTGTTCAAGACCATTCAGGGAAAAACAGACAGAGTAGGGAATTTTAGTTTAGGTTTATATGTATTTTCTTAACAGCTACTTCTGTATCTTAGCTATTTCTAATTTTTCTTAACTCTGATTCTATATGCTATACTGGTCTAAGAGCAAGTTTCTCAACGGGGCTGAAAATCTTTCTTACAGTGAACTGATCTGGAAAAAAACAAAAACAAAAACAAAAACAAAAACAAAGGGCTTCTGGGTACAAGATCACAGGAATGGTTTTGCTGTATCTCTTATCCAGGTCTGAGTGGCAGCAGCTATAGTTCTTCTATCTGCTTAAAAGAAGTATGAATACTTTTTCTGCTGTAGAACTCATGTATCTACCATTTCTCACTTAGGCTTAGGTGGCCGAACCAAACCCCAAAACGCAAAGGAGAGTAAGACATAAAACTAACTGTATCAAAGTCCTGCTCAAAATGCATTGGTGAGTCCCTTTGGTCTATGGGGTCAACCCCAGCTCTCTAGCTTATCATTCAGGACACTCCAATGATCTGGTTTTTCTGGGGTTCCCCATCTTCATCTCTGCACACGTTGTTGTCTGTACCAGAAAGTGGGGGAAGTCTGGCAACACCACCTTATCCAAGTGACATCACTGCCACCAAGTGATTCAAGTCAACATGACCAATAGCAGGGCAAAGCTATACCACGCACTCCTGATAGAATGCACAAAAGGACCCAACATCGTCGTTGTGGCATTCTCGGAAAAATGCATAACTTGAATGTACTGTGAGCAAACCGACAAGACCAAGTTGAGGAATATTCTACTTGTTTTCTTCGAAATTAACAATTATTCAAGACAAAAAAAAAGGATAAGGAATCATTTCAGAATAAAGGAAACTGAAAAGACATAAAAGCTAAATGTAATGCATGACCCTGGATTGGCTCCTGGATCACAAAAAATACACTGCTATAAGGACACTGAAATAATTGGTGAAATTTGAATAAGGTTAATTAGATTACAGTTTATGCCATGTTAAAGTTCCTGATTTTGACAATAGTACTGTGGTAATGTTAGAAAGCAAAGAGGAATGACGGCTTTAACTTCCTCCCAAACAGTTAAGAAAATATATATAAACACATACACTTTCCTCTCACCTTCTATTCCACTCCCTCCTTCTCTCTCTCTTTCTCTCTCTCACGCTTGGAGAGAGCAAGAAGGGGAGTTGTTTTTAAAAAGCTCTTAAGGGATGCCTGGCTGGCTCAGTCAGAGGAGCGTGCAAGTCTTCATCTTGGGGTTATGACTTCAAGGCCCACACTGGGTGTGGAAATTTCTTAAAAATACATACTACATACATACATACATACATACATACTTATTTAAGCTTGTAAGGAGCATGAACTTCTATGCCTTCAAGATTCTGCTCAAATATTCTCTGCTTGGGATTTCTTGGTGCTCCATTTTAATCCTGGTAGAGCAGTATGGCAATGCTACAGAGTTATTCTCATGATGCCATTCTACAAACATCAACCCCTTCAAAGAAGTTTTCCTTAACCTTTTTACTTTTTAACTAGTTAACTAGTAAGTTATGAGACGAGTAAGTTATTTTAAATTTTCTCAAGTAATTCTTTTCCACATTAATTTTTGCACTGAATAAATTCCCTGAGGTTCAGTATAACTTCCTCTTGCCTCAGATGAAATTAACAGTATTTCCCCCATTCTGCTTCATGCTCTAGCCCACCCCCACCCCCACCAGAGTAAATCCACCAA